GGCTTTGGTCCTTGGGGCCACAAAGAGGCAGACAGGACTGAAGCAACTTAGCACAAATGCACATAGCCTAGCTTAGAATCCTTCTTATACACAGAAGGATTTCCTCTCATGTATAGTAAAGGAGAAATACAATTTACAATGTTTAGATTCAGCTAAACCATTGCTACATAGATTAGTGCTGTGGCGATGGACTGAGTGAGAATGAGACCATTTACGGTTTCCGGGATTGGCCAGCTACCTGTTGGCACCGAGCCCTGAGAGTAAGAAAGCTCTTTAATGAATTTTCCAAAGTTACTGAAATAAGCGAGCTTCAGGTTCTCTCTGCCTAGCAATCAGTATTAGAATCAGACAGCAGAATGGAGGTGTTTCTTCTTTTATCTATAATTGATACTTACTGCCTTTTTGTCTTATGATATTAAAATATACATAATATTATAAAGTACTCTTAATATGTTTATTCTAATCAAGATTTGTGCACTTCCTTATGTTAATTTACCAGGTTTCGAAGGCATACACAGTGTTGTCAAATAGAGCTTTGAAGTTTTGTGCTTGAATATTTTAATTTTGCAGGAAATTTGAACTAACCAGACAATAACTGGTAAAAAAGTATATACACACACAAATACAGCACAGGCACCAAAGGAGTAAATAAAATGTGTATGCAATTGTTTTAAGTTTCGTTTTTGCACTCAGTGGAAGAAACACGACTGAGATGGTTGAGTTTACCTGGTGAGGCACTTCTGCTTAGTTAGACGGTTAATATTTAAGAGGGGTGCCCCCGTAGCTTACTTGTGAGGGGACTGACAGCCCAGTTAGTACTGGTTTGGGCAGGACCCATCATTGGCTGATGTGATGTTTTAGAACAAGTTAGTATTTGTAAGTATTTTGCACCTGATTTAATACTGTTAAAATACAGATACATCACTATTTTAGTATTAGCCAGCAAGTCAGTGAATAAAATTATTACAACTTCAGCTTTTAAAACAAGGGATGGATACAGAATGTAATTTTTTCTGATGAGTCAGTTAAAACTTTTTAAGTTAACACCTGAGTGGTTCTCAACTTCCTGTTTTCAAAGCTAAGCAATTTAGACTGCTTAATTCTTGCAGGCATTAATTTTCCATTCCACATCCCATGTTCACCTTCAACATAAAAGCACTGCTGTTTTATTTTAAATGGTTTGAACTTACAAAAATGTATCAATGTATTCTGTATTTCAAAGTATGTTGTATATTTGAAAATGTATTCTCTTTTAAAAAACAATAGAGATAGCATACTTGAGCTCTACTAAAAAGTTGGAAATGTAAATGTGTAGTATTTTCCATGATTTGTGGTATGTAATGAACATTTGTGAGTTGAAGAATTATATCGTGTCTTGGTAGATTGAATTTGTTGCTCTGTGAATAAGAATTGTGTGTAGTGCATTTCTTCTAGAGATAAAATTATAAAGTTTTAGTAAGTATTAAATGTGTGAAAACATTTTAGATGTTTTTATTTTCTTACTTGAAAAAATCTAAACAGTTCATTGACTTTTTGAGGCTTTTATTAATGTATATTTTTCTGATTCTGGTTTATCTTTCCCCAGTAAAAATATAACTATTAATTTAAAATCATGATTTACTGTGTTTTTTTGTTAGGGAAAAAATTGTGAAGCATTTCTCTTATTAAACCTATAACAAAAATTTTACAAATGTATAACTTCAGGAGAGCTAGTGAAGAAAGCTTTATAATGTACAGGTCAACATTCTGTAAATAAAAATTGCTGGTTCGGTGGTATTTTTTAATATTGTGCAATAACATGCCCCTGGACTGATATTGAAATTGAATCATTAAGTCCTTAAGAAAGGCTTTGCTATTCATAAGAATTTAATATTTCTGCTATTCAGAATTTATTGAATATATTGTTAAACTGAAGAATAAATTATTAGGCTGTATCATTATTGTAATATATATGTATATTATTAATACTAATATTCTTTAGCATTTTTCCACTACTTCGTAAATTAATTGGTGACTCGGTATTTTACTAAGATTTATATTTTTTAATGCAGCTTATAGAAAAACAAAATTGTGTCACGTCTTACTTTTTTTCTTTTAGGAATACCAAAATCTGATCTCTTGCACACCAAATCGTTAAGGGGCCATAAAGACTGCTTTGAAAAATATCATTTGATTGCAAACCAGGATTGTCCTCGATCTAAGCTTTCAAAAAGTACTTATGAAGAAGTTAAAACCATTTTGAGCAAGAAGATAAATTGGATTGTACAATATGCACAAAATAAGGATCTGGATTCAGACTCCGAGTGTTCTAAAAACCCCCAGCATCACCTGTTTAACTTCAGGCATAAGCCAGATAAAAAGTTACTCCCACAGTTTGACTCTCAAGTACCAAAGTATTCTGCAAAGTGGATAGAAGGAAATGCAGGTGGCCTCTCAAACTGTACACAACGAATGTTGGAACAGAGGGAGAACACAGACTTTGGGCTTGCTGTGTTACAAGATTCGGGTGCCACTTTATGCCACAGTAATGTACTGTGGCCTCACAGTCACAACCGGGAACAGAAAAAGGAAAAGACCATCTCTGGTCCAGAGGCTCATGTCCAGACCCAGCATCCACATTACAGCAGAGAGGAATGTAAGTATAGGGGAAGGGGGTAAAGATTGGAGTTTTGTTGGTTCTTTTTTATTTTTTTAATGTTTCACATATGTGATGTGTCAAGAATTTTGCTGTGGAATTACAGATTTGGTTAATTTAGCATTTAAATGACAGGTTCACCCTAGCAAAAATGCTATCATTTCTTTGGAATATTTCTTAGTACGCCCTAAAACCACTGGAATTCTACAGTCCCATCATTTGTTTTGCCATTTTAAATTATTAATAGAATGGAATCAACAGTTTGGGAATTAGGAAGTTCAGGGTTCATATAGTTTAGAAGTAGAGCCTCCACCATTGACAAACACACACGGTCATGTTGCTAATCCTACAAGACTAATTGGGGCTGGTATTTCAAAAGCAGAAATCTGACATGTTCCCAAAGGTTAAAGGTAATGTGTGCACCTGGAAAAACTGACTCATTCAGTCTGCATCTGTTTCTTCAGAAATGCACAGGAGCAAACGTGATTTTAATTAACTTAGAATCAAGTGATCTTAGAGCTAGAAGGGCCCTTGGGTCTATTTTTGTATAACTCCTTGATTCTGCATCTGAGTTATCTACAGTCGTATACGTAGACGGTGCTCCCCCGGTAGCCCAGCACTGAAGAGTCTCCTGCCAGTTCAGGAGGCGAAGGTTCAGTTCCTGGGGCGGGAAGATCCCCTGGAGTAGGAAATGGCAGCCGCCTCCGGTGTTCTTGGCTGAGAAGTCCACAGCCAGAAGAGCCTGGTGGGTTGCAGTCTATCGGGTCCCAAGAGTCAGACACAGCTTAGCGACTTAACAACAACATACAGCTAGATAGATTGATTTTCAAACTGTTTCTGCAGTACGTTAATCTTTTTCAAGCTACACATCATGAAGCATGTAGCGCTTTAGCAAAGTCAACTCAGTGACTAGTAACGAGCTTTAAAAATGGAAACAGCATAAGAAACACCAGAACCCACTGGACCTAGTGCTAAGAATTTTTCAGTGAACGTTTTATTTCAGGTGGAGAGAGACCTGTTGTGAAATAGACTGGTTGTGGATTGTGGGCAGAATTTGAAAACCCAGCACTTTAGGAGTTAATGAGTGAATCCTAGGGTCCTGTTAAATGTCATGTTCAGAAATAAATGCAGATACTTTGTTTTAAATAGGATGTTGTGTTGATGGTGTAGAAAACTTACTTCCCCAGGTTGTCATGGTAGTAATGAATGTATTTTCATGTTTCAGTGAATTCGATGACTCTTGGTGAGGTAAAGCAACTGAATGCAGAGCTCCAACAACAAATACAGGGTAAAGACTCATGTCATACTTTTTACATGTGCCAGTTTTGTTACAGAAAATCCCTTATTATCATTATTTGCATTTAAATTTAGAAATGATCCTCTTAGACTTTCCAGAGCAAAAAGCATTTTTCTTAGTCTTCTCAGTGAACTGCTGGTGACGTAGATTCTTCTTTTTCTGGTGAAAACAGAGACTACAACGTAATCTCTTACTAACATGTTTCTTTACTGCCTACTATTGTGTGAGGCACTGCACAGGTGTGCTCCTTAGCAGATTTTTAAGGCAGGTGGTATTGGCCCCGTTTTGTTTTCTTTTTTTTTTTAATTATTATTAACTCTTCCAAACACGAAAGTAGTCAGAATAATGTAGTGAAACCCTCTTTCCCAATTTCAACTGGCTAATTTTCCTTCTCTACTTGCACCCGTTTTCCTTCCCCTACCCCCACCTCCAGCATGGATTATTTTGGAACAAATTCCAGACAATATTTTGTTTTGTTGTCCATAAATGTAATAGTGTAGAATTTTCTCTAAAAGATAATGTTCTTTTTTAGGCAATCACAACCTCATGTTTTTAAAAAAAGAACAGTAGTGTGTTAATATCATTCAAGCAGGATGCTAATACAGTTAACGGTGTTCAATTTCCCCAATTGTCTTTTTTTCTTTTTCCCCTACAATTAATTCCCATTTAGGTAAGGAAACCACATTTCAGAAACCTTAAGTTGCTTACAATTGCTTTAGTTGCTTACAGAGATCTTGCATTCAGTAAGCAACAGATTAAGGATTCTAATTCCTGTCCTTTTAACTCCAAAGGTAATGGTCTTTCTTGACTACACAGCCTCTCAGGATAATAAAATAATAGCAACTTAACATTTGTCAAGTACTTATCCTGTGACAAGTACTTATCAAGTATGACAAGTATGATCTTATTTAATTCTCACAGTAACCCTGTGAGGTGCTTACTTTCATTATCAAGGTTATTCCATAAGAGGAAATTAAAACATACTTTAAGTTACTTGCCTGAGACACATAAGAGTCAGAACAAAAATTCAGGTAGTCTGATTCCAAAGCCTCTTAGAGGAGGTTCCAGACCTGTGTACTAACAGGCACTTTACTGTCCATAAATCATATTAGAAATTCATTGAACCTCTTTATTCGGTGTGAGGAAAGATCTCAGAGGTGATTGTAACGGCCATCTCTGCTGTGCATCTGGGTCGTTGCTTAGGACTCGCAAGTTTTATCTGATGGAGAAGGACACCATATTCCAGTTGGCTATGCAAAGTGTTCAACTTCCTAGGATGATCAAACTCAGCTGTTCCTTGGTTTCAAACTACTTTCATTACAAACACTTGCCCAATGTGTTCATTTCAGCTTAATTACTTGAAATATAAATCATAGATTAGCTTTCTGTGTATTAAAAATAGAATTACTTTTTAAATCTTTACAGGAGTTTTTGAAGAGTTAGCCCACCAAGTGCAAGAGAAGGATTCTTTAGCCTCAGAGCTCCATGTCCGCCACGTTGCCATCGAACAGCTTCTCAAGAACTATTCCAAGTTACCATGTCTGCAGATGGGCCGAACGGGATTGAAGTCACACCTGCCCATAAACAACTGAACTCAGCTTACACTTCCTTCCCATGCTCTGCCATTTTTTGGTCTGCTGGGCATGTTCACTTTGAAGAAATTGAAGAAAGTTATGGTCAATTATTTTATGGTCATTAAATTTGCAAAGATTAAGGCAACATCTTTGCCAAATAAAGCAGACCATTACACTCTAGTCTTCTAGGGTTAATCATTTTGATTCATTTGGGGAATCTGTTTTCCCATAATTACTAAATAGCCCTCCCTAATTTATACCACATGTGACTACTTAAATATACTGTTACAGTGTGACTTTATTAAACATGTTTTAATGTAATTCACCTGTCAAAACAACAGAAGGTTAATAAAGTTCTTATATTAGTCTAAATTACTAAAGATAACAAGAGGGAAATGGAATTCATAATATCACCTCTTATTTATTGAGCAATATTTTAATATGAAAATTTTATATATAAAAATGCTATTTTAGGTACTTTTCATCCTCTTTATAAATGTGCATTTGAATGGCTCTGTATATTATAGTTACACTTCGTGTGTGAGTATGTTACTCATATTTCACATCACTGCATTTTATTCTCTTAATAATGTTTTTACAGCTGTTACCTTGTTTTCCAAAGATAAATGTATTTTGGAACAGAAATCTATCTAGTTGAACTGTTTTGACTTCTAATAACTCTTATGGAAGAGGAGTTAATAACTTTTTAAAGCAAGTATACGGGAAAATAAAAGACATTATTTTTTAATAACAAAAGCAATTATGAGTTCAGGAAGAAAATACTAATCTAGTTTTTGTATGTCAGCTTATCTCTGTAGAAGTAAGAGCCTATTTTAGTCAGTATTACTTTCAATAATGACTTTGATGTGTTAGAATTTGGACAAGAGTTTAAGTCAAGCCTCACTTCCAAGTCAAATATATTATCTATCTTCAAATTTAATATGCCATGAAACTGGTGTCCTATCTTTGAAAAAAATTATTTTGTGTGCTAGATAAAAGTTCAAGAATTCAACTGTCCAAATTCTGTTAACATCATTGAAAGTCATGCCCAAAGAAAGCATTTCCTAAATTTTAGAATCAAAAGGAAAAGAGAAGATTGCTTGTGACAGAAAAGTAAAATTCTAATTCAAAAAAATAAGCTCCTTTTTAAGAAGATATTCTTGTTAGTTGCTTCTCATGTTTCCAAGAGTTCTGAACAAATAGGTTGTCTCAAACAGATAAGTTTTCAAGCCATATAGTATAGTGAATGCTATAACCAACGCAGATTTAAAATGGGCTCTAAATTCTGTTTTCTACTGGTACTTAGAATGTATTTATGAGACAGGGTCCTTTGCATGAAAGCATCAACAGAAAAGCCCATTAACTGGGCAGTTTCGTACTTAAAGACATGAATAACTTCTGCCTTAAATTTGGCAGGCTGCCCTGGCTTGGGTCAGATTTTAGTCTTGAACACAAAGAGTATTTGACCAAACAAAGAAACACCTCTATCTAGTAGAAAACAAATTTTTGTCATGCTAAAATATAAAATGTGTTAAATTTGCCTGAGGATACTAATTGATACGTTACTGATTTTTGTGAAATAGGTTACTGATTTTGTGAAACACGACATAACTGCTTTTTGGAGGGAGCTTTTGAAAGACGCTTTCCATTTCTCTCGATTCTTTGAGTCATCCAAAATGAATTTAAAATCCAAGGAGTGGGGAATGAATTCATTGCCTTAGTTTTGACAAGCTTTAAATTAAATGTGTGCAATATCAAAAATCCCTATAAATTGTAAGTTGAATAGGATGTTTCCTGATGCCAGTAAGTATCTCAGTGCTTCATTGTTATGGACAGATGCTCAAATTTGACTTTACTCTCTTTTTTTGGCATAATTCATTAAGGATGTTACCAGCCAGTGTGCTTGCACACATTTGTGCTTCTATTTAGATCACTTAGGGACAGTCATAAAAACTGGGGATGTGTTGCCTTTGACAGAAGCAGTAGCTTGTTTCCAGAACAGCAGGCATATAGTACCATCCTGAATACAACAGTGTTATCCAAAGAAAGTGTTTGCTTATTTCTGGCAAATATGTAGCTTTACTGCTGAGCTTGGCACAATTAGATGGGATCATATAGGTACCAAGGTCTTATTTGGAGACTGACTTACTCCATTTAGATATTTATACGTAAGCTCTTCAAAGGCATGGTGCTCTTACAAAATATCTGTGGTGCTGGTACTCACACTAGTACTTGATTTGGGTGGATATTCTAGTTTAAAAAATTTTTTGACAAAAGTATTTTGCACAGCAGTTTATCCAAATATTTGGTAAACTTATTTTATATTCCTATGTTAGTTTTCTCAAATATGCAGTTATTCTATATGCTAAAGTAAGGATAAGGGATAGAGTTGAGTTCTACCTTCAGAGAACATGAAATACTCCAAATATTGGTTACCATCCTTGGCCATTTTTCGGCAGAGTTGTTAGTACTTTTTGAGGATGTTTAGAAGAAAATCTCACCTATACTTTTAGTTTCAAAAATGGCAAAAAAGAGATTGCCAGTCAGCTATTTAATAGCTTATATGATTAAGAAGAGTGAAATAAGACTAATATTTTTTCACTTTAGATTTCATAATTAGACAAGTTGAATTAAGTTTAAAAAATTAGTTTGAAGTTGAAAGTGATTTTGACAACACAAGATTGTTCTCTTTAAAGATTTAAAATGCTGTCAGCCTTTTAATTAAGCTAAAAATGTGTTTACTTTGCGATTATTATCCTTTGATCCTAGTATTCAGTGTCCAAATTAGTCTTTTGAAAGGCATGCACTTTCAAACCAGACCAGCAATAGATGATGCATGCAGGCAGCCAGTGTGCCACTCCATTATGTAGCTTCTTACAGTGTTGGAGCAAAGAAATGTTTTTAGTTTTTCAAATTATATGTTCATTTCACCACAGAGTGCCCATTTTTATAAACATTTGAGGATTATTTTTAAATAAGTTCATGTTGGAAAGTGATTTCAGAAATATAGTCAAAATATACTGTTGGCATCTTGAGATTTCTGGGGTTTTTTATTTTACCGTTTACCACTGAAAATGGTTTAGAGCTCATTCTTTTTGTTTATATATTTTTTTACCTTGGTGTTTACGCTGTTCCTTTCAGTCAGCTTTTGCTGTGTGTGTGTGTGTGTTTTTAATTAATTTCTGGGGATAGATGTGTGTGTTAATGTTTACAAATTTTGGCTTTATTTTGTTTTAGAAGAAATCTGCTAGTGTTATTAATGTTGTAAAATGTAATACAAAATGTATATGCTGAAAACTTCAGTAGGAACTTTTAAAGAGTAAATTATTTGTGTAGCTCAGTAAGCAGTTCAGTCTAGTGACCATAAAATTAGGTTATGTGACATAAAAACTTTCAAATGGTACAGTGTAAAGTTCTTGTAGTGTTATTTTTATGCTGAAGTAAGATGTTTGAGTACTTTTAAAGTACTTAATAAATGTTTAGTACTCAAGTCTCTGTTCAGATGTGGCTGTAAAACAAAGATAATTGATTTCAGTATTCAATTGCGTTTTTAAGTTTAGGTTGGTGGAAATAATTATTTGAGGAAATTTGTGGTGGAATGGGAGAGAGTTCATTGACCAAATAATAAGGTAATGAAGCCCTGGCACAAGTAAATGTATCTTGGAGAAGGGCTCTAATACTGTGCTTGGAATAACAAGGTTCTGTCCAGTGTCTCGGGATTTTCATCCACTTCATCCTTTCATAACTGCCCTTATTAATAATGTAGCCTAACCTATTAAGCAACTTGATCGCCTTGCTGTGAACCATATCATAGCAAGTCTCTAAAACTGAGATATCTTTAACACCTAGTTTGTAACATACACTTTTCATACTCTTTTTCATTTTAAAAGAATCCAGATTACTAATGCATTTTAGTGATGTTGAATTAGTCCACAATTTTAACCTCAACAAATTACAAAAATCATGCAAGTGAGTATTGCCCTCCACCCTCTGTTCAAAAAGTGTTACTTGGAGCTTCCCTCAACTGCACCAAAAAAAAGAATTTTAGTAAATGTGTTTCTTCTTTCAAACATAGAATGTTTACTGCCATCCTGCTGCCTCCAAAAGAGGCATTTTAGAAAGTGTTCAGTAGTGACTTCTGTTAAATGCTATTCATACTTTTATAATTTGTGTGTGTGTGTTAATCTTGCTTTAAGTTTTAGCAGAACATTCAAAATTGTCTAAGATTTGAGAAAAGAAAAGGAAGCTGCCATGATGAAAACCAAGTTGGTTTCAAAATTTATTTAGACATTACTTGGCTGTTATACTTTCCTTTTAAAACTGCAATAATTTATATATTTCTATTGCTCTGCTTTGGAACTGTAACTACATATGCTTGTCTACTATTTTTAATTTTACAAAAATAAAATAAATATTTTATTATCTGTTAGCTTTAGTGGCTATTTTTAAGTGTCCATATATTTTCTCTAAATTATTGACCAAGTGAAAAGTTTAATTTTCAGGTTTAGGAAGTCTGTATTTAAGAATGGTTATCTAACAGTTTCTTAATTCTTGGTGAGACTCTTTCTTTGATAATATTCCCTCTGCCCCAAGAGTTCAGAAGCAGAAAATAAGATTCTTGTGGCTTCCTAGATGCCTGTGCAACTTTTTAAGGTTTTAAGTGTGTTAAGTTTTAATAAGTGTATACAACTGTATAACCATCTCCTCTTAGGATGCCTTTCAAATCTCTTCATTCTCCATTTCCTTTCCAGTGTTCTGATCTCTGTCACCGTACCTTGCATTTGCCTGCCTTAGAACTTGACATAAATTAGCCTCCAACTAATAAAAATAAAAATAAAAAAAATTTAAAAAATAAAAAAAAAAAAAGAACTTTACATAAATGTTATTCTGCAGGATGTACTTGTTTGCCTCTGTTTTTTTTTTCCCCACTCAACTGGCTACTTTAAAACTCATCTGTATTAGTGCAAGGATCGGTAGTTCATTCCGTCTTTTTGAGCTGACTGGTACTGGTCTTCTATTGTATGTATTATAGTTTGTTTATCCATTCATCCTGTTGATGGACATTGAGTTGTTCCAATTTAGGGTTCTATAAATAAAGCTGTAGTGAATATTTTTAAATTGGCTTTTAAAAGGATACTAATGTAGAAATTATTCAAGATTATTTGTGGTTAGCACTATGAATCTGAATATTTTTCAAATTACCATTTTTCCCACAAATGATTTTTAAAATAATGTATATACCTGTGGTATTAATTTAAAATTAGGAAACAGTTTTTCAAGAGATCAGAGGTAGATTATAAAATAACAGGTATTTGAGAACTTCAACATGAAGTTCTCTTCAAAGTCTAAGACCACTTTTTTTTCCAGAAAAGGCAATGAAGACCAAAAGAGTCTGGTTTGGAGAAAGTCCTGGAAAAAGCACCAAACCACAAGCGAAGCTGTTCTCCTGTTTAGCTTTAAACTATTCTGTGACATTAAGGGAGATTCCTCACGTAAACTTTTCTGAGTTCACTGAGCAAGAGCAAACAGTTGGTAAAATGTAAGCCTAATGCTGCTTAATCATTTTTGTTCCTGCCCAGGTTCTGAGCCTTCTTAAGAATTTTAAAATCACTTGTAAAATTATTTGTTCACCCTCGTTATTAAATGTCATTATAGAACCCCAAATCTTTTATAGGCATTTTAGAGACCGACAGGTAGCAGTGAGTATGTTGAGAGCACTTCTCTGTCCACGAATACAAAAGGGGAGCTGGCCAGCAGAACAATGCCTTTTACATCGCTTATATATAGGTGTTCTAAATTATTTGTTAAAAGGCTTTTAAAACTTTTATCTTTGGAATCTGATCTAGATGATGTCTTAGTTCCCCTCTGTCTTAAGTTCCACACACTTGCAAATAAACATCAGTGGATTTTACTTTTTCAGGGGCAGGGGGGAGGGGCATGTGCTCTGCATCTGAATCCCATTCTGGTGCTCAAATAGCACAGACCACTTTTACCTGTGGAAGCAAAAATTTCTCCCAACCTCCCTTACATCTGGGACACTCCACCTAGTTGGTGAAGCAAAGAAATGGTAGGCGAGGATGAGAACAGCCAAGGGAAAACACTTGGTGTCTCATACTCGCTGGGGGCAACACATCAGCTCCTGGCATCTGGGCTTGAGTAGCCCTTGTTCAGAGGATTTGACCTTGAACCTAGTAGCGGAGTAATCACCTTTATCGCTGCCTAGTTTCCAAGCTTCCTGGGCAATCTGCCCATTGAATCAATTCCTTTTCAGCCTGAATCAACCAGTCGCCTTCTCTGGCTTGCAACTGAGAACCCTGTTACGCCTCACTTCAATGCTCTCCTGCTCTGAGATCTTTCAAAATTGGTTTCTAAAAGTGAACCGCTGAGATCCACCCCTTATCTAAGCTGCCCCTCAGGACCACACAGTCTGCCTTTCCGGTCAGCTGCAACTGATGGGAAGGTTTTGAAGAGAAACTTTTTGGTAACATAGATGTCTGTTTTCCTGTTAGAAGTGTTGATTGTTCACAGGCGGAGTGACTTTGGAGCACTTCTCTCTCTCTCTCTCTCTCTCTCTCTCTCTCTCTCTCTCTCCTAATTCTCCTGCATGAATTACTCAAAGTGCTCACATTTGTATCTACCAGGATCTTGGAGGAAGTGAGACAATGCTAATCATAACTAGCCCTGGGTTTGACCTGTGTTCTCTCTGGTCATACTGAATGACCCCAACTCAGTAAGACTCCAGAGGCACACCACGACTGCAGATTCTCCATATCAATTGTCATGTCCAACTCTTTGCATGGACTACAGCACGCCAGGCTTCCCTGTCCTTCACTATCTCCCTGAGTTTGCTCAAACTCACATCCATTGAGTCCATGATGCCCTTCAACCATCTCATCTTCTGTTGCCCCCTTCTCCTCCTGCCCTCAATCTTTCCCAGCATCAGGGGCTTTTCCAATGACAGTAGCTACAGGGAAAATAAGTAAATAAATGCCTAAAGCTGTCATCCAGTAACTGAATACTGCACATTCTCTCCACATAGCCCACTCTTCATAGCATCTCTCTGACTCCATTTCAAGCCTTTGATGACTCGCACTTGTTCTGTCTCTCTTTCCCCTCCAAACCAGTAAGTTCTCTAACTTAGAGCCTCATGAAACAGATGTCAAGTGGCTGCACCTCCAGGATTTCTCAATGACTAGGTCAGGGGTGGAACCCAAAAATTTCATCTAATGAATTCCCAGATGATGCTGATCTACACAGTATTTTGCAAACCACTGCTCCAAAATCATCCACTACCAAGTTTACTTCACAGAAGGTACATTACTACTTTCTTCCTCAGACTTTCTAGATTACTACTGCCTAGAGAATAAAAATCAGTCCTCACAGCTCGGCATTAGAAGCCTACATCACCTGGCTCCCACCTGTTTTCCATTTTAATTTCATCAAATTGAGATCGTGTTCCAGGAACTCAACAAACCCTATAGACTTAGGGTCTAAGAGACATAAAAGCCAACAAGCATTATCGGCCAACTGGAAAAGAGTCTGCCTGGAGGCTACGGACTGAAAAAGGGTCACTGGATTTAGCCACCAGGATCTCAATGAGAACAGTTTTGCTGGACCTATGGGAGCAAAAGTAGATCATAATGAAGTGTGGGTGGGGAGGTGGGATAGTGGATTTGGGGTATGAGCTCTTAAAGAGTCTAACCATAAAGCTGAAGTCATGATGGTGGGTCCAAGGTTTTGTTTCATGTTGGGAAGTGGTGGGGTTGGCCAAAAATTTTGTTAGGAATGTTACAGGAAAAACCTGAAAGAAGTTTTTGGGCAACCCAATACTTAAGCATAAATACTGAGAAGACATCTGGAAGAGCCAAAGACGAAGAGGCAGAAATAATCAAAGGAGTAGATAGTACTGAAGAGGTGAAACTACAGCACACCTAGAACGAACTGTCCTCCAGGAGGTCTAAGATCATCTCAGGCTTTGACATTGGAGAGAAGTTATATACCACAAATGAATGTATTTGAGGGAGATTCATCGGAGAGTAAGTTGAAAAAGTCCCTACCTGGCTGTTACCATTTTCTGTGAGAGAAAAGGAAAAGATGATGGGGTCAGAAGCTCGAGAGAAGTGGTGATGTGCTAAATAGCTGCTTCTGAAGGAATGAGAAATGTCTCGCTACAACAGGAAGGGTTGCCACACTGTTTAGATGAAGTGGAGATTGGCACCCATGACTCACCATTGAATGAATTTCTCTAAATTTGCGTTCAGATTTTGTTACTGTAAATACAGAGTATTTTTGCAATTGGAATATACTGAGACCACTACTGAAAATAGAATCTGAAACTCAAATTGTGGTGCAAAAATTCACAAAACCTCACCCAATAGATAAAGTTTCAAGTGTGGGGAGAATGAGAAATTTGAAAAGCTCCTATAAATAGTATGTAGGAAACAATGAATTATGTAGCTCTAAGCAATAGTTTTCACTTGTTCTCTCAGTAATTGGTCCTACAGGCAAGGTCCTAAGGCTGTTTTGAAGGACAAGCCTTTACAGGTCAGTTGGTATCAAGCTTCAGCAGAGGGAAGTGGGGAAATTTGAACCTAGATAAAAGGAGTTTGTTGAGAGGCCATCAACCTCCTCACAGAACGTGGAAGAAAGCCAAGGCATAGCTAAACACAGAGTTTCAGATCTGTAACTTCAAAGTAAAGGAAAGGAGATGTAAAAGGAGAAAGGTTCTTCTGGGGGAAAGAGCCAAGTGAAACGAAAGTGATGAAGGCAAAAGAGGAAGCTGAGATGAGCAAGGCCATTGCTGAACTGAAATTCGGGAACTTGGGGCCTAACCCACCGCTGCCGCTCCTGGGCGCCACTTCACCTCTCTTAGCCTCCGTTATCTTGCCTGTCAAGAGTGGACTTGAACTTGGTGATCTTCAGGGGAACTTCCAGCTCTCACATTCTGGAAGGATAATGAGTTTTAAGAAGCCTGTCGTAGACAGTTTCCTCAGCCTCTGCGTGAACAATAGAGCTGAGCAGAAAGGACATGAGAAATGTGGTTTCATTTAGAAGAAACCATGAGGTGCTTTTACAGCAAGATATTTCTATGATCATCCGTAACAAAATAGACAGGACACAAGAATGAGCATGGCTCATAAACAACCCTACAATTCCCTACGTGCTGTTTATAGAAAGAAAAAGGACTGTAAGTCTTGACACCTCATTACTTTCCTACTTTCTTTGATCAGGGGAAAATATTTGGGGAGACTCTTCTCTCACACTATCAACAGCTGGTCCAGCTCCTAAAGACAGGCTCAGGCACTTCCACCTGTGCTTGGAAAATGAAAAACTGGAAAGGCTGTGCCCAAAGCTGTTTGGTAGGACATGATCTTTTCAATCAATAAAACTGTCCTTTATTTTGAGATTACATCTTTACTGTTATGGGAG